AATAGCATCTGCCTCAATTAGAGATGTCCTGATTGGAAAATCCATCTCCAATCATCCTGTTGATTTTAGACTTGATGGGTGCTAATAGGGTTGCCTCTCCCAATTGACTGAGACCCACCACCCAGTGAGACTCACCCATATGCACGCACACACACACACACACACGTACGTCTTGTCTCATTTCGTGCCTCTTTCTCCATCTTGTCACCTCGCACGCGCATGCACATGCGCGCACACGCACATGCACGTACGTCTTGTCCCCTTTCGTGCCTCTTTCTCCATCTTGTCACCTGCCAGGTGTTGGATTATAATTCCCATTATGCCTCATTCTTGTGAAGCCTGCTTGGAGTGTAGTACAGTATTTGGAAGCCTACACACTCCCTACCTTGAAGATAAGGGTTGGTGAGACCTTTACCAGGCCATTGAATGATAACAAACAGCAACTGGCTTTCAACTCCTAGGGAAATCTGCATCAGGCTGAGCATTCAGTAACATAAAAGGGAATGTTGCCAAGGAATATAAGAGCATGTCTCTGTGATACGACAGGACAATTCATACATTTCTGTGGCACTACAGCCATAAAATCTGTTATAATAAGACCAAAATCCCTGGATGGACATGCCCTAAGGCTCCAGTCTCATGTGAAACAGCCGTAGGCTTCCTGGTTGTGTCAAGGCAAATCCTGCTAATCTTTGGCTTGGAGAAGAAGCAAAGAAACTAGGCTTCCTGGTTGCAAATCCTGCAAATCTTTGGCTTGGAGAAGAAGCAAAGAAAAAGATGGGCAACCTTCCATTTCAGAACATGCTAACATCACTCAACAAAGTGTTTCCCCATCCTTTGTATTTGAGAAGGGTTGCACTGTACATCATTTGGCCTTGACTTATTTCTGCCTTCTGCAGACATCATACGACCCCATACATGCTATATACAAATAGCCATGTCGTTCTCTGGGTATAAGAAAAATGATAACATTCAGCAGTAGCAGCAGGAGGGGGTAACCACCTGGTTTGCAAAAGTATGGAGAAACTTCAGCAGGGGAGTAAACAAATCCCAAGATGTTCAAGGATGGATGAGCACACTCAGTGGATACAGAATGCATTGCAGGAAAGGGAACAGAAACCTTGGAAATGTGCAGCTGGTTGGAGTTCCAAATAGGAGCATTCCATACTGTAACATTTTGTTGCAGGCTCCACTGGTAAAAAAATAATAATAATAGCAGAGGAAAGGTGCATCTCAAGTCAACAATAGCTTACTGGTGTAGTAAATGGCAGGGAGACATGGCTGAATACTCCTTTTTTAAGCTGAGCGATAGCAATGTTAGTTGAAACACATGTATCGAGACAACCCAGCCATAGCTAAGCACATTAAGTCCCACTGATTTGACCATAAAAATTAAGCAAATACAGAACTCTTTTGCTGAATTCCCAGAGGATTCCCTTTGGCTGGACTGTGTCCCATTTTTTTCAGAATTAACCCCACCTGTAATGCTGGGCAATGAACAGTTAGAAGTATTTATTAATACGAAAGATGTATTTCTTAAGAGGAATTAAATGCAGCTCATTGATCCTCAATGTCTGCAGGGGAGGGGGAGAAGGCATTTATGCGTCCTGTCTTCTGACGGCTGCCAGTCCTTCCACCACTCCAGGGGCGCCCAGCCAAAGAGAGGACTCACAAGTCAATTCTGCACCCGCAGGGTCTCCTGGAAGTTCACACCGATTGCAGTGTGTCGTCAGAGCCACCAGAGCCGACTGATGGAAAGGTGTGGGATATTTATATTTATTTATTTATTTATTGGACTTATATACCGCCCCATAGCGCTACAAGCACTCTCCGGGCGGTTCACAATTTTAATTATACAGGCTACACATTGCCCCCCCCCCAGCAA